GGAAGGAAGGAAGGAAGGAAGGAAGGAAGGAAGGAAGGAAGGAAGGAAGGAAGGAAACCTCTTTGGAAAGAACATGCATGCCCTTTGTCAAAGATCCTTGAGCATAGCTCTGATTCAAAAGCACTTCTTCACCTCTTTCCTTAACTTCTCCCTAGTCTTCTCAAAAGTCACCAAATGGTTAAGGTCAGCCTTCCTTTTCTAAAAACATTGCATTCCCCCAACCAAACAAACTAGACCAAAACTCAACACCCTTGGTAAGATCAAGTCCCCATATCATTGGGAGGTCTTCTTTGGCTTCAACCTTGGGATCTCATCCCCTTGTACCAAAAGCAGAAATACAATCCCTGCCTTTCTCACCCTGTGAAGGAACTCCTCCTTGGATGATCACCACAAGGATTTCCTCTCCATCTTCACAAGACCCAGAAAAATGGCCAGAAGCAGAGGAACTTCAAAAGACCCACTTGGCATCCTTGCTTCGAATTCAACCCCCCGACCCCCACCAGACCCCCCAAGCAGGCTGACAACCAGGCCGGTTTGGAAGAACCCTTCTAGTCCAAGCAAAAGCGGCCAGCAGAGAACCCCCACCCCACCCCCAGAAGAAGAGGAGAGAACGCGAAGGCAAAAGTTCTCTTTCACTTACGGTATTTGGGGCTGGAGTTGGTCTCTGGCGTGGTGGTGGTGCTGGCCTCTTGGAAGGGGGATAAGGTCCAGGAAGGAGCCGAGTCCTGAAGATAAGTCTTGTAGGACGAGGTAGTGTACGCCGCAGTGGGCCAGGCCGGCGGAGGCTGAGTCCTGGGGGTGCCGGGCGCTGGCCGGGCGATCAGGAGGGTGGTGCTGAAAGGGACAGCGGCTGCCGTGGTGGGAGCCAAGACTGTCGGGGGCGCCAGTGTGTGGCGCGCCGTGGTGGATCGCGGCGGGCTGGCCCGGATGGGGCCCCGGGTGGCCGGGAAGCGGGTGGGCGCCTTGGTCATGGTGGTGAGGCGGGTACTGATCCGGTTGGGCGTCCTCGAGGCGGCGGCGGCGGCGGCGGCGTCCGTGCCTGTGGAGGCGGTGGGCTCGCCGCTCTTGGGCGGCGTGGTGGGCTGCTTGGAGAGGAAGAAGGGGTCCTGCTCGATCCCTTTGGAATCCATCAGCTCGGTGGGCAGGTACTCCTGGACGGAGCCCACCACGATCCACTTGAGCAGCATCAGGCTGAGCCCCAGGCCCACGAAGCCGATGAAGAGGGGCACCACGCACAGCCACGTTTGCTGCCGGTTCCACACCAGGCAGTCGCCGCACCGCACCTCCCGGGCC